TCTGGCACTGCCACGCCGCGGCCTTCCTGAGCTCCATGGCTGCCAAGGGTCAGCCTTTTCCCTTGGCCGGCCACTTGGCCTCCTCCGGGGAGGTCCCGCTTTCCTGACCCGGCTTCTGGGGTAACTGGGACGAGACCAGGAGACCAGCCTGGGCACAAGATCCGCCCGGCGGCGCCCCTGCCCCGAGGGAGCCCGCTGCTCCAGGAGAGTGGCCGGGCCGTAAATCACCAGTCTAAGTGGGGGGACTTGATTGGGTTTCTCTCTCTGAGGGTGAGGAACAAGCCGCTAGCTCACTCCCTCGGAGGGGTGGGTGGGATGGCTATAGGGCCTGCCCCTCTCAGGGTGCCAGCTGAGGCCTCAAGGCACGGGGCCGGACTTCCCAGGGCTGTCCGAGGGAGAGCTGCAACACGATCCCCCCCCCCCGCAAAGGGCCACACGGATGTGACAGGCGTCCTTTCTGGGACTGGCTGGCCACGAGCGAGCGAGCGAGCGAGTGTGGCAAATGCCACTGGCTTAGCTCAGATTAAGAAGCGATTAGAAAAATTCATGGAGGAAGAAGAAGAGGATGCTGTGATCGCTGCATCATCCACCGCAGTCTACCCTCGCATCTCTAGGGCTGGGGGCATGGGGGGCTTGGAGGTATCTCTAAGACCCCCCCCTCTTTCTCTACCAGCTGCCTAGGTGCTAAGATCATCGGGGAGCCCTTCCTCTCCATCCCACCACTGCCACAGGGGGGGTCTGGGGGGGGACTCGGGAGAGGGGCCTTCTCTGCCACTGCTCCCAGACAGAGGAACTCCCTCCCACCGGAGGCCAGGCTGGCCCCGTCTTTGCTTTTCCGTCCGCCAGCCGTCCAGGGCCTTCTCTCTCTTCAGACAAGCCTTCCCTCGGGGACCAGCGGCCTGGATGAGAGTTTTATTCAGTGGACGTTTGTGCCTCGGCGGCTTTCAAAGGGGTTTTCCTTGTCCTGGCTTTGGTTTCCTGTTTCTCAGAGCGGCGTTCCTTTGATCCTTCTCAGTATTTTTGTAGACTTTGTGTTTTTATCTTTTTCAATATTGCCTTTAAGTCCCTTTCAAGGAGAAAGGCGGGATAAGCAGGTTTCAAACAAATGAATAATATTACTTGGCCACCTAGATGGGGGGCAGCTTGTTCTAGTGTATTAAGGCTAGGATGAAGTAAATAATGAACAGAATCGATTTTTCAGTGTATGGCCTGCGTGGCTCCCTCTCTGGGTCCTTCACTGGCAATGCCCGGGGGGGCTCCCCGACCCACAGAAGGGAGCGAAGGCGGAGGA